CATGATCTGTGAATGTGTATCAGGCCTGGACCAGGTTTGATTCTATAACGGTCCAGCATCGACGGCCATCACTGCTGAATCGAGGCTGTTGCTCTGGCCTGGACCAGTATCTATTTCAGTCCCGATGTAGTCATAGCTGATACAGTAATGTCTGTTCGTCAGCACTGGTCCAGGCTGTATATCAGTACTGGATCAGATCGATGCTTTTCAAGATGGCAGCCCCGCGTGGACTATCTGACATGTTTTGTTAAAGAAAATCATCTTAATCTGACTCTTTAAGAGAAATCTCGTTGGCTGTATACACTAGGGCTACATCACTGGATGTTATGTGAGTACCGTGGACTACATTAAATGTTACACTATTTTTAGGCTATTTTGAACCATTTATTACTTAAACATGAGTAGGATACACGATATTTTGAGTAAAAAGTAGGCACATGTAGATACACAATCAAGCCAAATTAATTAATTGAGCAGATACATGACTGGAAAATAATACGACTGACAACTTCCAATTAAAGTTTACCACATCTTGCCTACAAAATCTCTATGATACGAAAGTAGAGACCTGGGTTTATGAGGAATTATCAAAGGGGTATAAACTGCATGAACAAACTTATAATAAATTTAGGCTAATTATTATTGTGAGATTAATGACTTCAATTTAATTGACTATAATTAGAAGTACATACCTTTCATTATGGATTCTCCGTTAACTTTCTAGTATTGAGCCAAACATTGAAACAGAGCGAGAAGACCTTTCTGCAATAATCATGACACTAGTGAAGATGATGAGAAATTAGGCGTAAAAATGGTTCACTACATGTGATTGTAACTATGTTTTTAATTAGGGTGAATGTATTAGTGATCATGATGATGAAGATATTGTACTGAGAGACTTATGAATGATAGTCACAAGTGTGGTAAAATAGTTTATTGATTATGTGTGTAATTGTTACTTTTCCTTAGAATTTTTGATGCGGAAGATTATTCTGGAAATATTAGTATAGTGGGTGCTCCTTTAATTCATATTAATTTATTAATTTAGCAAGGCCACTAGTATACATTCTATAGTTACCTTATCTCACTAAGTTTCAAGACAAGAATATCTTAGGTTTGTTTAATTTCATGTGAAAAGCTAAATTCATTATTCAGGTTGTGATGAACTGAAACTTTCTTGTTTAAAGCTCTTGTTAAAGTCAGTTTAATCATAGTGTTTTAATTTATTATCATCATTTGTCATTATAGTTCACTTCAAATAGCATTGAATTTTTTGTGAACCTGCCTTCATCATGCTGGTTAAGGAAGGTATGTAGTTCCTTTGCTTATGTAGAATTTATGCCTCATTATAGTTATGTTATGGATCTAAGCTTTGTAGGACTATGTGTTACAAGATACCTTTAAAAGATCTGCTTCACTACATGGAACCCCAGAGTTCATTAATGTTGGAGATTTTTGGAAATTAATTTCTCAGTAATGTAAGTTTATTATTTTAGTGCCTTCTTAATTTATGGCTCTTTAGGTGTCTTAAGTTACAAAACATGAAGTGTCTTACTTGTGGAACATTGGTAGACTATGATGAAGAAAACAATTATAATCTTCTTTTGGTTTTAATAATAATTCCAAATCATTTTTAATTAATAATGAATAATAATTAAGTATTAATTAAGCATAACAGGAAGTACGTCATAATGAGGCTTAATGAATATCGTTATCGTTGTCGGATCAGGTCTGGCACCAGCATAAATCGTGGCTGATTTGTCAATTTCGGATCAGGACATTGCCCCAAATCCACGGTCCAGGCTCGATCATCAGTAATGATTCAGGCCTGTATCAGGACTGGTCCATGTTCCAACTCTTGGGCGTGTAGCTAATTTAGCATATGATTCCCCTTTGTCATTCTTTGCTCTTTCTTCCT